AAATAATTAATTTATTATTAAATAAGTGTTCGTTCATATAAATCCGGCGTCTGAAAACTTAGCCCTTATTAACACATCAATAGATATTATATTAATTTTGTCAGAAATAAATAATAAAAACTGTATTTTTATAAGAATTAATTACTTCTAAATGCCTTTTGAGGTTTGAACTACTAATCTTTGAAGAAGATATTTTGTTCTTACATAAAGAGAATTTTTCACTGATCATTGTTGTTAATATGGTGTAAAAGATTTTATTATATTTTTACATTAATCTAAAAAAGAACTAACTATTAACCTAATAAATTCTATATATTATAATAATCCTCAAAAAACTTCAATCAAATTTAGCCAGTAATGTTCTTTTAAAATATATTTGTCCTATAAAAATGATTATAGCGTAATCGGTCCAATAGTAATCACCTAACAAACTAAACATTCATAAACTTACCATTTCATTCACTTCACATATCAAAGCAATAATATCCAGATGGCACTTTCAGAAATAGTAGTTTATATCAAAGTAAATTTTTAATATTAATAAATAATTTTTAAATATTTTAGAGTTAAAAAATCAAAATTTTTTTTATAAAATATCAGTCCAGAAGAACAACAATGTGCATTGAATGCACTGAATACATGCCTAATATTATACATATTCCTGAATATTTCGGGATCAGTAGAACTTTAAACGCATCAAGTACCAATTCAATAGAAATAAGAGATTTATCTAACTATTTTAATTCTTTAATTTATGTATAATTTAGAATTTTATACCATTATATTGGGATTTCAAAAAGATAAAAGAGATGCAAATATTTACTTATCCATAATAATTACCTAATTGAAAAATTTATAGTTTTATAAAATTCAAATATTTAATAGATTATGAAATGGATCCTTGCGGGCTTTTAATAATGGAAGGCACAAAACACACCTTGGTAACACAAAACTCTCATCTAGCAGGAATAAATTTTTAGATTATAAAATACAAATGAATAACACATAAATAAAATTACTAAATATATACATAATTAACATATTTTATAAAAATAATGGAAAATATTAGAATAACCCCAAATAAATATAAATTTTTAAATATCACCTCATAAAATAGGAAATTTTTTTATATTTTCTCATAACTTCATATTTGTAGAATGTATGTTATTCATAACCTATAACATTTTTGATTAATTGTATAACCTTTTTGTTTTACTTATATATAATTTTACTATGATTGAAGTTAATTTCCTATTATTTGTTAACTAAGAAATATCTTTTTATTTTTTCTATTGTAATTTAATAAATGTTTTAAATTTAATTTTATATTTTGTAACTAAGTAATAAATCATGAAGGGTGGTGGTTTGTTTAAAATTTAAATTAAGATAAACATATTTTCAGCATGGTACTTTAATATGTATTCATAAATTTCATATAAATACCAGGAGCTAACCAGTAAAATGATAGGTAAATCAGATATTTACCCTTCATTTGATAATAATTTTGAAAAATTTTTCATTTTAAATAGCAAAAAAATATGTACATACTAGACAGATTTAATTCTTATAAAACCCTTATATCAGACCTATTTTTCTGGATCCAAGGAAAAAATAAATTATTTTAGGTTTTTCTGGACTTGGGATTTTTCACCATTATTATAGACTTGGACATAGCTTGAGAATTTTTCATAATTATTTTAGTCTTAGATTCCTGTAAATTTTTTAATTTTAAATATGGGCTAGAAATTGGAAAATTTCTTTTAAGACATGGCAAGGCCTGACTAAAAACCAAGGCCCATACAACTTTCATATTCTGATTGTATTTTTAAATGCATTGTGACTTTTTATATATATTTTATTTCAGTTCTCAACTATCAAAATTATTAAGGCAAGTTTGAGAAAATTTTTCCAAGTGCGAGGACCTAGCTTGGGAATTTTTTTAATATAAGGCATATGTGTAATATTTAACACAATATTTTTATATATCTCAGGTAAAAGCTAATTTAAATATATTTTTATTAAAAAAAATAGTATTCACTCTTAGTCTTAATGGGTTGGCCTTGGTCGGGTAATCTGGGTTAAAATAGTTATGGTTTTTAGAGATTTAGAAATTTTTTTTATAAAATTATTATGGGTTGGGCTGGGCTTGGAAAATATTTTTATATTGGGCTGGGCTTGGGGAAAATTTTTCAAAATTATTGTGAGCTTGGATGCTGATAATATTTTTATTAATAATTATGGGTCAGATATTGGCCTGAAACAATTTTTTTGCAGTCCTTGGCTCAGCCTGATCAAAAAACCAAGGCCCAGGTAAATCTGATTTTGATTGTATTTTTAAATTCATTATGATTATTTAGATATTTTATTTTAGTTCTCAACTACCAAAATTATTATGATCTTTCATTGGGCTTGGAAGAATTTTTCAAAATTATTATGGCTTTGTACTTTGCCTGGGAATTTTTTTTAATATTAAATATTCTGAAACGTTCTATTTCTGCGCGTTATAAGAGGAATATTTTATTTTCGAACATCCTATGAATATTCAAAATATATTTTAGGATTAAAATTTTTTTCGGCCTGAAAAAGGGAGGGGGTAAAAAGAATAAAAATTGGATATTATTTTAAAATAACAGGTAACATCTAGCATAAAAGTAAGAAGAATTATCTCATTCCCCGTCATTTTTGACGGGCTATCTACTAGTATATACAGCGTCTACATGACAAGATTTTACTGGATGCAAACCCCCTTCAAAAACCTTTGCCTACCTCCTTAAAAAATCCCCGCCGCCTTCGGTGGCGGTGTCTCTTTATTATTATTTTCACCTATTTATTTATTGATACTCTTTTCAAAGAATTTATAAAGGATAACTTAAATTAATCTATCTCTACTACCAACTATCGATATTTTGTGAATATAAAGAATTTATTTTTTAGATAATAAATTCAATTAAAACTTCCATTATTTACAATGAATTAATTATTATGGCATTATGAGCTTGCTGAAATATCTAAACCTTTTAAATTACATTTAAAGGATAGTTTATTTGGAAAACAATGTGTATGATTGTTTGCAATATATAGATTTGGTCGATGAATTGTATTATAATAATACTATAATAAAAGTATTAATTTCTACAGCATTAAATTTTGTCCTATTTCATCTCAAAATTTAATAGATAACTGGCCAAAAATTTTATCCTACCCCCATTAAAGCAGCTTACCCCCTACCCCCTTAAAAAATAGGATGCGAACTGTTCCTACCCCTCCTGCTCATGTAGACGCTGAGTATATATATATACTTTACAAAAGTAAGTAACAATCAATATAACAATTAGATTAATATTATGTTAAGTGAAAGAAATAATACTAGTTCGTAAGGTAAAATTTAAGTTAATATAATTTAAAATAAAATTCAAATATATTAACAATTTTATAGTTACTTCCATCCATTTTAAATAAAGTAAAATACTTACATAAATTATGAAATGGTAAAAGATTCTCATTCTCACTTATATCTGTTGTCACATCAATAATGTATTATTTTCTAAATCTTTAATGGAGGAAATTATTAAAACCTATAATTTATTTATTTATATTATATATAATATAATTAAATAAATAAAACTAGTAGGCTCTAAATCTCGTTCTAGATAAAAATGGTGGATAGGAAGTTGAGAAAATATAATGTAGATAGATATTTTTTTTAAAAAATATTTTTATTTAATTTTCAAAATTTTTATTTTATTTATTGCTTTTTAAGTAAAAAATTAATATTAAAAGTATCGGGATCGAAAATTAAAAAAAATGATCTCGATCACGATCCTGTCAGGATCATAAACCAGTGAAAATTGACAAATTTAGGATCGAATCCATTATCGGCAATCTTTTGATTTGATTCTTTGTATATATATATTGGTTTTTGAAAATTTTGGTAAATTATGTATATAATCTTTTTTATCGCGAAAATTGTAACATGGTACCCGGAATTTTATCTTGAAAAGGGGTACATGTTGTATTATTTTTTTTATGTATTATTTTTTTTATGTATTATTTTTTTTATGTATTATTTTTTTTATGTATTATTTTTTTTATGTATTATTTTTTTTATGTATTATTTTTTTTATGTATTATTTTTTTTATGTATTATTTTTTTTATGTATTATTTTTTTTATGTATTATTTTTTTTATGTATTATTTTTTTTATGTATTATTTTTTTTTATGTATTATTTTTTTTATGTATTATTTTTTTTATATTATCTTTTTTATGTATTATTTTTTTTATGTATTATTTTTTTTTATATAAAAATAATATTGGGCGTAAAGAGTTGATTATTATTTTTTTTTTGAATCGAAAAATAAAATAAAATAAAATATTTAAAAAAAACAGTTTCTGTCAAGTGCAACTAATTCTAATTAAAATTCTGTCCAGTGTGTCTAATCTAATTAAGTAAGTATAAGTATCTTAGTCAATATCAAGGAAGTAGATAAAAATAATATGCATAGTTATAAAGTAAGTATTAAGTTTGATTCTTGTATCTAGTTCAATACATTGGCATAGATACCAGGGAACAGGAAATAATTATATCTAACAGGCGCTTAGCTAAAAATCTTCTACAGGAGTGGGCGATGGATAATTTTTTTAAAATATTAATAATTTTCATTTGAACATTAAATTTTTTAATAACTAATTAACATATAATTTATTATATCTAATCATTTTTTTCATAAAATGAAGATTTTCAGCATAAATAATAAAATAAAGAATACAATATAAGAGCATATAACATTGCTAAAAAATATAGGTATGTAACTGTAAGCTATAAATGGTGGCTCATTATAAGATTTCTTAGGATTACTATATTATAATGCGCAAAATTTTATTTCTGAGGTTTAAAGCATATTTTGAAGGGGCATGTTTCCAATAAACTTTCACTTGATATATAAAAAAATGAATTTTATATGAATTTTATTGTGTTTTAGAAAATTTTTATATGACTGGGCAGTATTTGTCATACATTAACTGTTAAAAAACAACATTTTTGATTGCCATTAGGTTAAATGTGATGACTGATGACTAACTGTTTGCCATATGATTTCGAAAGTGCTAAAATATTGATACTGGGAGATTCTGGTAAATTTATTATTTTATATGAGAATGAGTTGAAATATTTAATAGGAGTAGGTAAGACATCGCTGACAGATTTAATATGCAATAATCATGTTCTAGAAAATCCTAAATGGACTATTGGAGCATTGGTTGATATAAAAGTTATTTCTAAATATTTCCATATCATTTAGTGTTATTTCATATAGATGCATATATTTAAAGAGGGTACTCCCCTATCAAAGGATTATTTTATTGAATTTTGGGATATAGGGGGTTCAACAACTCATAAGAATTGTTGGAATATATTTTTTAATTCATTTCATGGTAATATTAAAAATTTTATATCTTATTAATGAATATTTAGGGTTGATACTTGTGTATGATTTAACAAATTATAAAAGTTACAAAAATCTTACTAAATGGATTAAAGAATTGCAAAATAATCAAGCCCCATACATGTTAAAAATATAGATTTATTCAATATTAAATGTCAAAATAGACATATAGATGAAGTTGATTCTAGAAATTTTATAGGCATTAATGTACCAATTTTGATGGTAGCCACCAAAGCAGATTTGCCATATGCTGGTCATACATATAAAGGAAAGCCATTAACACTGCTATCTGAGTTAGGCGCGGAAGAAATTAAATTGGTTGTTTAATTTTTTATACCAATTTTATAATTAGAAGAGACTGAGGTTAGATGACTAAGGTTTAGAAATCTAATACATATAACCTTTTAACCCCCTCATAGGATTTTCCACCCTAAGAATGATAAACATAGGGTGAAAATCCTATGAGGTTGGGAAATAGGGATTTCAGTGTTTTTATCCAATATTTATTGAGAGCTGGGCAAGGCATAAAAATACTTTTGTTTGTTAAAATGAATAAATCAATTAATATTGTATCAATTAACTAGTTATTTATATAATAGACAATTTTCAATATTCCTTTGATGAAATCAATTGCAAAATTACAGGCAATTATTTTGAATGGACAAAATTTTTATAATTAGGCAGTGCTAAATATTTTTTAAAAAGATTTGAGCTATAGATAGATAATAGCAAATTTTTAAATCTGAGCTAGGTTTAAAAATGGGACCTCTCAAGGGTAACTAATTTTAATACTATATAAATTATTTGTTGCTTAAAAAAACTAATTACTCAGGAATGACTAAAATACGTGCCCCCTATCAAAGAAGCTTAATTTAAATTACATTATTATAGAATCACATTTAGCTTTATAAGATGAGTTAAAAAATGTTTTTTTTTATTTAAAAAAAAATGGTAACAGTGAAATTTTTAAAAAATAATTTTTTTATATGATTAAAATATGTGCCACCTATTAAAGATGCTTAATTTATAAAAAATGAATGCAGAATCATATATAACTTATTAAAAGGAATCAAAAAATGTTAATATTATATTTTAAAACATTTTTTGAATAAACACCTTTTTTTTGACTAAACTACGTGCCCCGTAGGTGCCCTCGAAATGAATACAGAATTATGTTTAGCTTTTTTTTTTCATTGAAAAGCTAAACATGATTCTGTATTCATTTTTAAAAAATAATGTATATTACCAAGGGTGCATAGGAGGCACATAGTTTAGTCAAAAAAAGAAGAAATAAAGTGTTTTTTTCAAAAGCCCATAAATTATAAATAATTTATAAACTAAATATTAACATTTTTTGATTCCTTTTAGAGCCTAATATGAATATGCTTTAATTCTTAATGAATTAACCTTTAGTCAAAAATTTTCTTTTTCAAAAAATGAATAATACCACTTTCTGAATCTCTGAAAAACTAAACATGATTCTATATTCATTTTTTTAAATAATGTATATTTACTGAGGGCGCATAGGGGGCACATAGTTTAGTCAAATAAAGAAGAAATTAAGTGTTTTTTCAAAATCTCAATTAGTTCTAAATAATTTATAAACTTAATATAAACTTTATTTTTATTTTTAATGAGCTTAATATGATTAAGTTTTTATTTTTTATGAATGAGGCTTCTTTGATAGGGGGCACCTAGTTTAGTCAAAAAAAATGTTTATTCAAAAGTCCACTAAGTTATAAAAAGTTTTAAAATATAATATTAACATTTTTTGATTTCTTTTAATAAGCTATATATGATTCTACGTTCATTTTTTATAAATTAAGCTTCTAATCATAACACAGCCTTAAAAAAATTGATAATAATTAACCATTTTATTCTGTATTATTTTGGATTATTGTCACCATGAAAAGGCTGACTAAGAAGCAAAAAATGTTTTTAATGAAATTTGTAAAATAAATAAAAATGAAAAGAAAATTTTGTACATTCTTTACAAGTCTACAAGGATAATTTAGTGATTCCTGTAAATTTAAACATAATTATTTTAATAGTTTCAATAGATGTTTGAAATGCCACAATTTTTATGAAGGAGGTTTCTAATGTCCAATTCATAGTAATGTCCAACATATTGAATCCATTAAATAATGTCGATCGTTTGGAAATATAAATTTAAATTATTCAGATTTGATTTAAGAAAATCATTAGGTCTGAAATGAATAGATTAAATGTCTAGAAAAACAATTACAAAAACAAGAAAATTAGAACAGAACTTTAAAAATAATGGTTAAAACAATTTCATTCAAACAAAAAAAATGTGAATTGAGAATGGATTGTAAATTTAAAATGTAAAAAATAATGAAAGTGATTTATTTATAAAAAAAATGAAAGCTATGCATGTTCCAATATATAATAGAAAATTATTTTTAATCAAATCAAAATTTTAAAAAAAGAAAATGAAAATTTGGAGAAAAGTAACCGATCTCATAAAAAAAAAATTAATTATTTTAAAAATTTATATAAATGTAATATATTAATTATAATAATTACTAAAGAACGTTCTATTCTAATATATTATTATATAATTTTAAAAATATATAAAAATTGAATTAATATTATTAAAATGTAAAGATTAGTTAATGTAGTATTTTAAATATTTTATTGCAAAATATTTTGTATTATTTTTTTTAAATAATTTTTTAATTGATTGCAAATTTCTTCAAAAGAACAATCTTTAATATTTTTTGGATATATTAAATTTTCCAATATACGCTAAAATCATTTTTTTAATACCTGATTTAACAGGTATTTATTCTTTTTGCTTCCAATTCCAAATTTTCCAAATAATCATCAATATCAGTATAGATGTCACCGAATGTTAAAATAATTTTTGAATAATCCGCATTTAGAATCATGATTTCCATTTTCATCATTAATTGATAAATTTTCAAACGAATTATAAATTATTTTTAGATTTTCCCATATTTTTCATTTTAACTCTGACTTTAATTTTATTTAATTTTTTTCATCGCCAATAATATATTTAATAAACTTTATTAACTATCTTTATTTTTTTTAAATTAATAATAATATATCGGAATAGAACATTCTTTAATTATTACTATAATTAATATATTACAAAACAATATGGTATGGGACTAGTAATAAATTTTACAGTTTAAATTCTATAGGAGTGGCTCTTTTATTTTATGATATTCAAAAATTAGAATTCTTATTCTGTGATTGAATTATGAGGTTATCACAGTATATTATTTAGTCTATGATTTATAACAAAAGTTATATCACCAAAGAGCGAAATTCCTGTTTGACCCCAGTCTTCATCTCTACGTTATTATTTCCCTTAAAATACATTAATAATATTAAAATTATAGAAAAACTATTATTAGTTATTCATACTAGTGTTGTTAAACGGCTCGTTTTGAACCGTTAAAAACGGCTAACCCATTATTTCATCTAAAAAAATATGCTCATAGAAGGAACAAAGATACATATATTATCAAAATCTCGAGGCTTAGGCAATATTTTTCTGGCTAGAATATTGAGTCAGCCGTTTAACAACACTAATTCATACATCCTTAATTTTAAAGTAGTACATTTAAATTTATTATCTAGCAAATGTATTAAAGCATCATTTTAAAATACAATAATTATTTATTCGCAACCTTAATCACAGGATTGCAAAAATTTAAAATATTTAGCTCCTGGTCAAACAAACACTGTCATTCTAAGTCGTTTTCTTGACAAAGTTAGTAATTTTATTATAATATTACATATGATATATTATGTATTATTAGAGTTTGGAACTATACATAAACTCTTTTGAAATCTTTTAGGAATCAGAAATAGAATTGTTTGGGGCTTCAGCTAAAACCAGGGTTGTTATACTTTCCTATTTTGACTTAAACCTCCTGATTTTTTAACTCTTGATTACCCCAAAATACGCCGTCTATTAATTTACGCTTTCTCCCGAATTTTTCTAAAAAAATTGACGTTTTCTTGCAATTTTTTTTATAAATTTTTTAAAAATATAGAATAATTAAAAATAGTTTAACAGAAATTTACACTACCATTTTTTAATTCAAATCTTATATTTAAAAGGGTATCTTATTTTTGTGGTATCTTATTTTTGTAATTTTTTTATAAATATATATTTTTTAGAAAAGAAATAACAAAGAAACAATTCTAGAAAAAATAAAATAAATTTTTTTCATTACAAAATTTTCCAATTTTATATAATAATATTTAATATCTTTTAATTTTATAATGAATTATTATGATAAATCATATATTTAGGGGTGTACCGATACCACTTTTTGGAGGCCGATTCGATCCGATATTCCCTATATTAAATTGATATCGGCGGATTATCGATCCGATGTCATATCTAATTTTGTATTCTGTAAAGATATCATTGGTTTTAATTTTTAATATACTTTTTATTAGTATAATTTCTATAATCTAATCTAACTATACCATAACTTACATCATTTAAATAAATTATAATGATCAGTTATAGTTTATATTCAATTCAATTGCAATTCTAAAAGTATATAAAATATTTTTATTGTTAAATTACTTTTATATAATAAGTAATAACATTAATCTATATACATAACAAGTAATAAACAAATATATTATGAAATTTGAAATAAATATTTTAAATAATATTAACATTATTATATCGAAGATTTCTTTTTAGAAATAGCAAAATTTCCAATTTATAAGAGGTCAGCCTGCGGCGATGGTAGCTGTCAATATTATCAGCTTCACTAAAAACAGATTCTGAAGAGATTATCGCACACTTTTATATACAGACTGCGCAAAAAAATAACAATATGGCTGAATATTTTTTATTTATTTATTTATTTTTCTTTTTAGCTTTCACCTTTTCTGGTGGTAAGCTCCTTCAACATCTCTCTCCATTTTATGTTATTCATACAATCTCTTTTATCTAATTTATACTTCTTTATATTGGCTCTAACTTTATGGCCCCATTGAAGTTTTGGCCTTCCTCTTTTACGTTTGCCCATCACTTCCAAACTCTCAACCTTATTTCCTATGTAGTTCATAGGCCTTCTCATTGTGTGCCCATACCACCTAAGTCTGTTTACCATTAACTTAGTCTTAATGGGCACTACCTTTAAACTACTTAGTATTCTTGTACTGCGCACTTTATCCTTTCTTGTTACCCCAGCAATCATCCTTAGCATTCTCATCTCCATAGTTTGTAGATTTCTCTCGTCTGATTCTTTGGTTGGCCATGTTTCCGAACTATATAGAATAGTTGGTTGTACTATGGAACTGTAAATTATTCCCTTTAATTTGTGTGTGATTCTTTTGTCAAATAGCACTCCAGATAAAGATCTCCACTTTAACCACCCTTGATTAATTTTACTCTTGATCTCTTTTTCTATTGTGCCGTTTGTTTGTATAGTGGAGCCCAAATATTTGCAGCTTACAATTGCCGTTATCTGCCATTCATTTATATCAATACTCTCTGTTTCATCTCCTCCTATCACCATATACTCCGTCTTTTCTCTATTTACTTTTAGTCCGTGCTTTTCTAGGATATTTATCCAACTCACTAATCTTTCTTTCATTTCATCCTTGGATTCGGCAAGTATCACAATATCATCTGCAAATATCATATTCCACGGAACTGTTTGAGGTATAGACTGTGCTAATATAGCTATTACTGTAATGAAGAGAAGTGGGCTGAGAGCCGACCCTTGATGAACTCCTTCGGCTATTGTGAAGCCTGCTGAAGTACCTGTTGTGCTTCGGACCATTGTTGTATGACCCATATACATATCCTGTATTATTCTTATATATTTTTCGGGGACCCTTTTGTGGCGTAGCGCCCACCAGATAAGTTTTCTTGGGATTCTATCGAAGGCCTTTTCTAGATCGAGAAAGACCATGTGTAGCTTTTTGTTCTTCCCTGTATTTTTCATTTATTTGCCTAATTGCGTGGATTGCATTAGTTGTTGATCTTCCAGGCATAAAGCCAAACTGAGTCTCTCCTATTTCGATTATGTCTCTTAATCTTTTTTCTATTATTTTTTCGTATAGTTTTAGACAGTGTGACATTAGTTATGCCCCTGTAATTTTGACAATTGTGTGGATCCCCTTTATTTTTGAAGTTAGGAACTATATAGCTCTGCCTCCATTTTTGGGGAACCTCTTCATTTCCAAGTATTTTATTGTACAGATTTGTGAGGGGATGTATTCCATCATCTCCTAGTGCTTTTAGGCTTTTTATTGGAATATCATCTGGACCCCTAGCTTTGTTGTTTTTCATATGCCTGAGGCATGTGATTATTTCTTGTTCTGTTATAGGTTGTACAAGGTTTTGACATGGGGAGTGTTCGTCTAGATGTAGTATGTGGGGATTAAAGTTGAGAAGCTCCTGAAAATATTCTTTCAATCTATTCATTATTTCTTTTCCCTTATTATCAATTTCCCATCTTTATTTTTGATTACTTTCGGAGTTCCGTTTATATCCCTCGAGTTCTTTTCTCGCTGTTTGGCTAATCTGTTTATTTTGCCCTTCTTTGGTTTGTAGTTCTTCATACATGTCATCGTATGCCATAGATTTGGCCCTAGCCACCGCCTTTGTAGCTAATCTCTTGGATTTTTATATCTTGTCTTGTCATCTGGGTTTTTGGATTTGTACCATATTTTATAAAGGGCTTTTTTCTCCAGTGGTTTGTACCTCTTCATTCCACCACCATAGTTCTTTGTATTATTTGTTACCTCCCCTTGTCAAGCCCAGTGTCGATTTAGCAGTGTCTATTAATCTGGATGAAAGGTCTGTCCACATTTTATCACTGACTTGTGAGGAATCTATTGTTTCAATGTTTGCATTGATTGTAAAGGCATCTGTCATTGTTTTTAATTTGCCCCATTTGATGCATGGTTCCAGTTTTATCTTGTTTTGAGTGTATTTATTTGAGATAGGTAAATCCATGACTAGTAGCTTGTGTTGTTCGGCGATATCTTCTCCTGGGATGACTTTGCAGTCTATTACATCTTTTAATCTTCTGCGAGAGATTAGCATGTAATCTATCTGTGTTTTCCTTGTACCACTTTCGTATGTTATTAAATGACTCTCTTTTTTCCATAGTAGGTGTTGGTTAAGGCAAGATCGAAGGCTTGCGCAAATTTCAGTACGTGCTCTCCTTCATCATTTCTTTCTCCATATCCAAAACCACCATGATGCTTATTGTAGCTATCTCTTGCTTTCCCCACATGCGCATTTAAGTCACCACCAATTATAACTAGGTCTTCCTTAAAGATTTCCATTACAGCTTCATCAAGGATAGCTCTAAAGTCATCTTTTTCTTCTTCCTTGCAACCCGTTTGAGGAGCATATACTAAAAGGATGTGTAGTATTGATTGACAAATGCAGAATTTTATCTTCATTAGTCTATCAGAGATCCTGTTGACTTCTACTACTGAGGAGGTTAGATCTTAACTGAGGATGATGCCGACACCGTTCCTATTGCTAACAATTCCATTATAGTACAATTTATACCCATCTCCAATCATCAAAGTCTTCTGTCCTTTCGTCTCTTGTATGCACGCTATATCAACTTTTCTCTTGTTCAACATTGATGCCAATTCCTTTAAGCGTCCCAATATTCAAACTTGCTAATCTTGTCTTCTTTGCTTTGACCTTTACTTTACTTTTCACAGGATGGAGGTCTACACCCTGCGCGTCGCTTGGAGGGAACGCCCTAGCTTTCATATTCATATTTCCATTTGTTTCCATCATTTTGTTTATTGGACAGGTATCCTAATCACCCGGCTATTCAGGCCTGTCGGTGACCGGGGTGTCATCTCTAAGCTCCGAAATTCATCTTACCATATGTCTTTACACATCAGTCATCGAAGAAAAACTTGAAAGTTTTTCTTCTCCTTACCAGGATTGAACCTGCGTCCTTCTTCGTCCTTCTGTCTCCAAGCATACATCTAACCCATTAGGCCACCCCGGCGATTATGGCTGAATATTTATTAATTAATTATTATTATTAAATAAACATAAAAATGGATTTCGATTTTATTTATAAAAATAAATGATTTTAGATATAACTTAAAAAAAATTTTTTATAACATTTTATTTTTGTTAAAAACGCCATTTTTTATCAGATCGGATCGGAAAATTTTATAATATTGGCCGATAATCGATATTTTAAAATGGGTGAAATATCGACCCGATCCGATCCGATAAAAAATATTGGTACATCCCTACATATATTAATTACTTCTGATTCTGATGATGAAAATGATTCTTATGTGGTAAGAATTTTATATAATTTTTAAAATTCTATATATAAAATAATATTTTAGAAGTTTTAAAACTATTCCACATTTTTAAAAAAAAATATTACTTATAATTTATAACCATTTTATATAGCTTAATAATTTTTTATTAGTTGAGTAAAAACTTTTCCTCTTTTTCAATTTTATTCCATTAATTTAAATTATATATAAATTACAGATATTTAAAAAAAAATTTACATTAAATAACAGAAAATTGTTTAAATGCAATACAAAATTTAATATCCGTCATGGATAAGTCTATGATTAAAAAAAAACACTCAACAAGGCAAAAATATATTTCAAATTCAAAAATAATAAGGAATCATCAAATAATCCATACTTTAAAATCAATAATCAATGTGTTGATAATACTGCAATAACCGAAACGACATTAATCTACCATACGATAAAACATTCACTTAGTTATTATTTATCTACATGCACTAAAAAATTATTGCCTATTCGTTTTCCTTATTCAAAAATAGCTCAAACCATAAAATGTGAAAGAACAAAAGACTCAAATATAGTGTTAAATATCTTAGGTCTTGAAAGTCATATCTTAAAGGATTCAGAGGAAAATCGTAGATTTTTCTTATTAACTGATGCATCAAATAATGTAAATACGAAAACAATCACGATAGACATAGAAATAGTTATTACGCCGAATTCAGCAGATCCACAAACGGGGTATTTATTTTAAGGATAATTATGGATCATTAAGATATTAAATGGTCAGTAACAAGATGGCTATCATAATAAATTCATTAAAACCATCACGTATTTAGAAGAAAAAAATCATACTAATTTACGCAAATTTTAATATAAAAAATATTGAATCAGATAAATTTTGTTAGGAATTCTTTACATTAAAAACATTCATCGAACAAAATAATATTTCAGAAAATAAATTAGTACCTTTTTTTCAAAGAATATTTCCCCAATAACATTATCTTCTCATCACCACTTCAAATGCCCATTCCGCGCATATACTTTTAGTCTAATAAAAAGAAAATTAAAAGGTCATAATTGATTATCCTTAATATTAGCTTTAGAAACTGAATGAATGATCAAACATAATTTTAAATATACTTGTAAAAATTTTAAGAAGCATATATCAAAATATAAAATTTAACAAATAGCACAAAATCTTCTAAAAAAAATAGAAATGAGATAAAAAATTTGTATACTCATTTTTTCAATATTTTGTGTGAATAATATTTCTAATAAATTTTTCTTTTTAATTATGGGTAACTTCTTCCGCTTTTTGTTCGAATAAATCTGACAACCCAGGCTAGAAACATTTTTAGTCCAGGTTTCAAATTTTGATATAAGTTATGAATTTTAAATGAACTTTCTTTGATATATTTTAAAATATTTATCCAGGTCGTATCTAACAAAATTGGGACCGTTTACCATCGTCCATTTTTTCAATCTTCAAATTATATGAAAAATTTATACGATTAACTGTAAAATATATGTAATTTCCTATTCAAATTAATTGAAACTATTTTGATTATTATAATGGCAATTAAAATATAAATTCGTATTTAATATAATTTGAGCTTAAATTTGAGTGTTTATTTTTAGAAAACTGATAAATACATGCATATATTTGTCTATATAGTTTATATTAGTAATTATTATTGCACTAGCAGATAGCTCGTCAAAGAATGATAGATAGGTGAATAAGAAATTTATCATTTATTTGATGATGGGTGAAAAATATGTCTTATTTATATCATATATAAAAAAGCAAATATACATATATTTTCATGAGAAGTTATTCAAAATTTTCTGTTATTTTGATATAATATATTAGTAAAGTTTATATTTATATTTGGTTCTTTCAACCATGCATAAAATATTTAGAACACATTTTGTAAATCATATTTTTTTAAAATATAATTTCAAAATATCTCCATATTTTTTCTTTACAATCCACTATAAAAAAGACCTTTTCATTAACATTATTTATTTGTAATTTATCTTCTAAAAAATCTAATCTTTCTAGATAAATTTTTTGTATATTATTTTCGATTTTTCTTGACCATGGGAAAGGTTTTTTTTAAGGATTCTGAAAATCCCATCAGGGATCTTCAAATTTGAAAAATAAGTCTGTTTCAGACCCGTTATTTGAGCATGTTTTAATTCTCTTTTATGACAGAGTTACTCAAGTGTTGTGTAATGATTCGATAATTATAAGTGACAATAAAAGCTTATTCCTATAACGGAAGAAGAACAGTCAAAGCAGAGATATGGTAAGAGTGACCCTTAGTGTTGTTAAACTGCTCATTTGAGCCGATTTTAAAAACGGCTAATTCAATATTTTATCCAGAAAAATATTGCCTAAGCCTCGAGATTTTGCGAATTAGATATTCTAACCTTTGTGCCATCTGCGAGAAAAATCTTCAGGCATGCGTAATATTTTTCTGGATAAAATATTGGATTAGCCATTTATAAAAATCGATTTAAAACGAGCCGTTTAACAACACTAGGGGTCCGAAAGAATCGTCTAAAGAAATTCGGGACAAACTTAATATTATTTTAAAAGGTAGTTAAAATTAACCAAATATTCTTTTGCATCCCATTTCTATTGGGTCGCTCTATCTTTTTTTTAAGAAATAACCCACTGGTGCTAAATTATCGATAAACCCACTTAATGCTTTTCTTGATGTAAATGCTAATCGTCCCTCTTCTCAAAGTAAAATACATGGGTAGTCGTATTCCGAAAGAACATTATTATATAAACCTCTTTTGATAATTGATTTTTTATATTGTTATTTTACATTGAATAAATTATAATTCCTTAAATTATATTGAATTAATTTTTTATATCAATTTTCAAAGATATTAAGGTACCTTTTAAAATTATTTTCCATAGGCCCTGAGATAGTAATTGAGTTTTATTTACATATATAAAACAATTTTACTAATATCAAATAATGCGACAAATCCAGTACCATTCCTAAAATATTTGCCAACCTTAGGTAATAGACTGGATATGTTCGATGCACCTTCAGCCTGCTTCATATGTCCTCAATTTTTAATGATCGATTGCCGCTTTTTTTTCTGTCACCCTTGTCTAACAAGATAAGTTGTAAGGACGCCCCAGGACGAGTAATTTAATTTATTTTATTTCGATTTCCAATTAATAATAATATAAATATTGAGACCCGAATGTTACTTAATTTGAATAAAAAAAATACTTCTACACTAATTTATAAATTTGGATCATAAATAAATATAACAATTCTTTACATTCATTTACAAGTTTTGCTCAAAATAATATTTAGGTTAATTTTTTTCAACCTTTTTCTTCTGTATACTCTCCTAATAAACTATGACAAACATCCACTCTAAAATTGTATTCACTATCCATTAAAGTTTAATCCTCTTCTTTTTATTAAATATATTTTTCAATCAACAACAATTTCCTATGCAATACAATAACTTATAATAAATTAACCCATAGTCAATAGTGTATTGCTAAAAAATTTGGCGAAGGGGCAGCAATTTTTTTTTATATATTATCGAAAAATAAAATGAATTTTTTTTATTACTAATATAAATAAATACTTTTTTTTACATATATTTTAAAAATAATGTCAAAAATTTATTACCACCGATATATATACAAAAAATTGTAATAGGAAAAAAAACCCCGGAAATAAAGCCTTAAAAATTTAAAATAGTATTTTTTTTATCAAGTTTGACGCTAATAAATAATACTTTTGAAATTCTGGCAAATATCATAGAATTTCTTTTACGAGTTCTTATTCAAATCAAAAATCCAAGAGTGGTGGGGAATTATTAGGGATGCTTTATCATTTAATATGTGAGGGTTGGATAAAGCAAGGTAAATGTGGTTTTGATTTTTACTTTTTTTTGCTAATTTTTATCTGGAATTTTTTTTTTTACAAATTTATATTTCTTTCAATTGTTTTCATACACTCTTATATCAAAAATAATATATATAAAAGCCTTGTCACACTGTGACAGTCACACTTCCACAATTTATAATATTATATATTAAAAAAATGTCTATGGTCCAATCGGCAAGAGCTTTAAAATTAATTAGGTTTAACTTATAAAAATTAAGTTCAAATTAATTTTAAGGACTTAGGTTCGAATCTCAGCAAAGATTTTTTTTTCCTTAATCTGGCAAAATATTTTTTTTCTTAATCTGGCAAAATTAATCAAATAGATACGATTCAAAGTTTGTAGCTACTTTAAAACTCAAACTAGTAAATAGGTATTCTTATATTTTTATATTTTTAATATTCTTTTAAAAAATATTCGTCCAATAAAAATCACCATAGAATCATATCTTATCAAACATTCATTCATCTTCCATTACCATCATACATAATCATATATATACTAAAACTAACTGATATATCTATAATATATACAGTGGCATAGCCAGGATTTTTCCATGGAGGGGGGGGGGGTTTAAAATATTTTTGGAAGGCGAAGCCCCCAAACTCTACTTTTAAATATTGGCAATATTATGTGCTTTATTAGTGTCTAATCATTAAGCATGAATAAAAAAAATATTAGTTACAATTTTGGCTAAATTTATGATTAATAAGCGACTGAACACTGAAAACATTATTCTAAAAATTTAATCTATGTTTAGTCAATTGTAAATTAATCCATATAGTTTAGAAAGAAAAAAATTTGCTCCCCGAACCTTACATTTTTTAAGATCACTCAATATACCTGATTGAGTGTTAAAAATAATTCTTTCTTAAATTTTAGATATAGATTTTATTTATTATTAAAATACTTTAGTATAAATAAAATCTCTTTATTTAACTATGCATTTATTTTAATGATAATATACAATAAAATAAATTTCAAAATGTAGAAATTTTTATTTAGATTATTATATTAAAAATTTATTGTAAATAACTATATTTAAAAAATATATAATTCAATAAAATATAAGTAATTCTTGTACGGTATTTTTAAAAATATAATTTAACAATTATAATTAATACAAAATAATCTATAAATATTTCTTATTGCAAAAGCAATACTTTTATTAAAAATACATAAATATTATGACTAAGAATTCATTATAATTAAGTTTTGCATATAAAAATTTTATGACTAAGAAAATATGATAATCATAGATTTGAATTTATAAAGAGAGGTCTACTTTTCTCTGAGATTTGGCTAATTCATCTAAAATCAAATTTTTATCTAGAATAATCTCCTTATAATTATTTAAAAGGGCTAATCCATTTAAACGGTTTTTACCAGTGCTATTTCTTAAATAGGTTTTTAACCTTTTCAAAGTTGAAAAAGACCATTCATTGGTGCAGGTACTAATCGGTAAAGTAGCTAAAATAAAAAGTAATGTTTTGATATTTGGCAGGGAATCTAAAGTGCAATTACACATGGAAAGAGCCTGCAAAGCACATTTAGGTCTCAAAGAGTACTCTATTCTGTCGAGATTTTTATACCAAAATTCGACATCACAAAGTAACTTATCATACGATCCTGATAAATCATCAGAACAAAACTCTGAGATTTTCTTAATATCCTCTCGCGTTTCATGTGTAATCAACAATTCAGACTCAACCGGCAGAAGAAAATAAAAACTTTTTAAAATAAAATTATGACTAATAAATCTTTCTTTTAATTGAAATAAAAATTGTCTATAAGGAGAATAAAAATATTTATTTTATAAAAATCCTCAATCGAAGAGGCATCAATATTTAAGCGATTTGACTGTCTAGAAACTACTATAGGTTTAAAAATTTCAATCCCAAACAAATTAGCGATCTCCTTTACTTTCTTGTAAATATCATAAAATTTTTCGTCCACATTTTCTCTGATATTTGTTAATATTTCAACAATATCCTTTGCCCTATTCATAACCTCTCTTAAATCCAAATTAATTTTTTGAAGTATTTTGCTAAAATCATAAGTATAATTTAATAAAAAATATACACATTGAATTGATATTAAAAATTGTGGCATAACTCAAATGAAAATATAATTTACAAATAAAAAAATAGAACTCAATTATATTATAAAATACCATACCATCATTTGATGATTTTCCAGCCAAATCAACTGAGAGCTCAGATTCTTTAATAATACATAATTTTTATAAATGATAATTTAGAATTATACCATTATCAATTCATGATTTTATTTTAACCCTTCAATACCCCGATGAAAAAAATGACATTAGTAGTCCGGTGGGGTTTAATATACCCCAATTTCAAATGTATATATGTCCAGTTATATTCATTATTTTGATTTAATATTTGAATATAAGATAGAACTAACCTTAAACTTGATAAAATATTTATTTATTTTTATTTCTTAAGTTTAGATTAAAGATGGTGAGGATAATTATAATTTGTGCCAAAATTTTCTAAAAAAAAGCTTACTTTTTTTAAATTGGAAATTAAAAATTTAAAAAATAACTTATCCATCATATAATCCTGATAATTCATAACATGGATCTTTATTCTTCAATATTAAAAAAAAATTACACTGATAAATTCAAATATAAAAAAAATATTGAACATTGAAATATGTTAAATTTGACAATCAAAACATTT